TGCTGTTGCTGTTGCTGTTGCTGTTGCTGTTGCTGTTGCTGTTGTTGACGACGACGATGACACCCCCAAAGAACTGCTACCAACTAGTGTGCAAATACAATTGCCTCCACTGATGCAAGGGTTTCACATCCTCAGAATACTGTACGCTACCCTGCGTTCTTAAGATGAGAATTGTACTCCAACAGCATCTGGAGGCCCAAGCGTCCTCGCCCCTGCTTTAAATGATCACTCCACCTATTAATCATGTCCTTTTCAGAGAAAATCATTTCTTTCTGTGTGAAAGCCAGAAAGCTGAGCCTGTTTTCTCATGCGGTTATCTACATAACCATCAATTTTGCAATAACTTTTATGGGGGAAGGGGAAAATAGTTAAATTTAAGTAAAACCAGCTTTACAAATACGTTAATTGCATTTTAATTGCATTTAAAAGTTCTCAGTTCCTTGACAAATGGCGCAATGCTCCACAGATGTTAGGTCTCATTGGATTCAGTGGATTTAAGCCTCAGCAGACAGGCATAAAATAAAGCTAAGAAAAGTTCCTTCTTTTTTTTTTTACTGCAATCTCAGAATCCCCCCCCTTCCCCTGGCAGCCTGCATGACGATTACAATTCAAAGAGCTGCACAGGAAAAAAAAGTAAGTCTTCCTAACTCTGGTATACAATTGCAGCCAAAAACATGTTGATTGTTCTTAATCTATTCGCTCTCCCTTCCATGCCTTTCATAAACCCAGAAATCTGTATTGTTGTTGTTGTTGTTGTTGTTGTTGTTGTTGTTGTTGTTGTTGTTGTTGTTGTTGTTGTTGTTGTTGTTGTTGTTGTTGTTGTTGTTGTTATTATTATTATTATTATTATTGATGACGACGATGTGCCATCAAGTCAGTTCTGACTTACAGCAACCCTTTTCAGGGTCTTCTAGGTAAAGACTACTCAGAAGTGATTCACCATTCCCTTCTTCTGGAGGTCCCTGTGCAGCTTGCCCAAGGCCACCCAGGCTGGCTCTACTTGCAGGACAGGATAGATCGTCTCCCAGGAGGCACAATGAGGAATCAAACTCCCAAATTCTGGCTCTGCAGTCAGTTACTTGATTTACTGAACTATCCAGGCTCCTGGAACTCTGCAGCTTGCCCAAGGCCCCCCAGGCTGGCTCTACTCACGGGAAGTAGTGGGGAATCAAACTTTGAACCTCTGGCTCTGCAGACAGAAACCTAAACCACTGAGCTATCCAACCGGCTTATTTTTTTTTAAAAAAAGAACTTGTTTTAAAAATAGGGAGGTAATAAATATAGAATAAGGAAACGATGGTTGTGATGGATGCTTCTCTAAAAAAAGCAGACGGGAAGGCTGTTTCCCCTTTCCTGCGAGTAAGCACCAGAGAACTCAATGGAGCATCACTTCTGAGTAACAAAGACAGGATTGTACGACTGAAGTCTTCCACCTCGAAAAGGACTCCGCAGTGTTTCGTGAAATTCCTGCCCTGTTAAGTCTATGGGGGCCCACCTTTGGTCCACTATTTTGGCTGCCTTATCTTTAGAGAGACTGACTCATATTTTTAACCCCACTTCTCTCAGTCCAAGCCATCATCTTCCTCCTCTTTCCCCCACCCTCCGTCGCAGCCCAAATATCCTTAAACCTTTTATCTTTGCCTCCCCTTCAGCCCCAACCCTCCTGGCCCATCTCAGGCCTGGATTTCCCCAGAAGCTGTTTGCTGATTGCAACATGTAAATCCCCCAGCAAAAGGAATAATCTTCCTTTCTGATAATTTTTTATTTATTTATTTATTTATTTTGCGTCTGGCACAGGCCACGGCCGTTCTGAAGCTCTCTGCAAGCTTTTTCCGTAAAACACTGAAACTTGTTTCCCCTCACAGTTCCCTGAAACTGTTGTGGTGCTCCTCCTCCCGACAACCCTGCAAGGTTGGCTGGTGTGGAGGGCGGTGGGGGGGGAAATGACTGGTCCAAAATCACCCCATGGTTCAGGCGACTAAAAGGGTGGGTCTTCCACACGCTGATCCAGGATCCTAACTACTGCAAGAGTGGTCGCTTGCAAGTAAATGGAGAAAAGCATAACCCTGTATATAAAATATTATTGAACATCGAGGCAGTGAGGAGTAGTGGTTAGAGTTCAGTTTTAACCACCAAAAGGGTCTGGAAACTGATCGCTAGTCAGTCTCAGCTCGACCCACCCCTCACAAGGCAGGTCCAGCTGTTGGGTCCTATAAGCCGCCTTGGGTCCTCTAGTCTAGGAGAAAGGTGGTATATAAATATTTAAAATAAAATAAAAAATAAATAAATAGGGGGAGAGAAGTCCGCTTACACACGAATGAGGGAAAACGGGTTACAAACCCGTCCGTGAAGTTCAAACTATGTTCGAACCCAGTGCTCTTAAATTGCGTGTTTCAAGGATCGTGTGAAAAGGATAAACACAATATATGTAGCTTTATTTTGTTTTTGTTTTTAAAAAGGTTTGAGACATTGGCTACAGTTATCGGTGCTGTTTCAGTCCTTGCCCCTTTTTTAATTTGTTTCTCATTTTTGTGACCGTAATCTGCTGGTGGGTGTTTTGTCATTTTTGTGTGACCTAAGCATAATTTTCGAAGTTCTTTTTTTTTTAAAAAAAAAAGACCTTCATGGAAATCCGTTCCAGGGCTGACCTACAAGCTTCGCCTCGCCCCTCTCCTTTCGGTCTCTCTCACACACATTTAAATGCCGTTTTTCCTCCGAAGACGCCCAGACGCCAGGTGAAATTACAAAAAAACATTGCAAAAACGTGAAACAAACAAACAAAAAAGCTGAGCGAACGCATCTGCGGTGGATGGGAACCCAGCAAAAAAATTCAGAAGCAGCCCAGTTATAATCGAACAATCTTAGAACTGCAGAGCTGGATCATCAAGTCCCTGATGATGATGATGATGATGATGATGATGATGATGATGATGATGATGATGATGATGATGTTAGAACTGCAGAGCTGGAAGGGACCCTATGGATCATGGAGTCCAGCCCGTCAGGGAGGCGCAAGTGGGGAATCGAACTCCCAACCTGTGGATCCGTTCAAAGCACTGAACTGACTCGGCAGTTGAAGCTAGAATTGCGCTCTGCACGTTCTCGGGAGCACTCATGCCAGTCGGGGTGAGAAAAGCCGGCTTCCATCGATTGGAGGACGGCAGCCCGAAGCGATGAAACGGAGAAAGTGGAAAGAGGGGAAAGTCGAAAAAAAAGTTTTGAACGGAGCAAAGGGGAAGGGAGAAAGCTCAAAGCACTGAACTGACTCGGCAGTTGAAGCTAGAATTGCGCTCTGCACGTTCTCGGGAGCACTCATGCCAGTCGGGGTGAGAAAAGCCGGCTTCCATCGATTGGAGGACGGCAGCCCGAAGCGATGAAACGGAGAAAGTGGAAAGAGGGGAAAGTCGAAAAAAAAGTTTTGAACGGAGCAAAGGGGAAGGGAGAAAGCCGGATTCATAAATCCCTTGATATGCCTAAAAGAGGATCGCGGATGATGACTTCAGACAGCCCAGCCCAGCCTGACGCAGGGAACCGGGGGCCGCCTCCCTCCCTCCCTCCGTCCCTCCCTCCCTTTGGATTCAAAAGGTTCCCCGCCAGCCATCCCTCCAGCCAAACTTCTTCTCCGCTACCCGCCACGGGTCCCGCGTGGGCTTCTCCCTTCTCCAGCCTCCCCCAGCGACGGCGCAGGTGAGAAGGGACATCCTGGGGCCAGGTGGGAGGGAGGGCGAGGCCGGGCAGGACCGGAGAGCCGGATCTCCTGGGATCGCCGGGAGCGCAAAGTTCCTTCATCTTTTGAGAAAACGGGAGTGTGGGCGAGTGGTTAGAGCGAGGTCGCACAGGTGGCGGGGCGTTCTATTGGCAGCTCCAGAACTCTAGACCCGAGCTGAAGCGTGGATCAACACGAATTGAGGAGGCCAGGATGCTCCTGAGCGCATGCAGAGTGCATTTCTCTCCCCATCACAAGAAAATTAGGAAGTGGGGTTGTTAGCTGTTTTTCCCCCCAGTGTTGTACTACAAGGGTTTCCAGAACAATACTTATTTCTAAAAAGAGCTGCCTCTCCGTGTTTTTTTAAGAATTTAAGGAGTGCCAATACCGGAGTGGTAGACTATCTGAATCTTGAAGTTTAAATGCCTGAAGGGAGAAGCATGTAGACACACAGACACCTGTATGCGGTCATGTTTATCGATGAATGCTTTGAGTTATTTAACAGTTGATTGGCTAGCTGAAATTCATTCTGGCGCATTTTTGGTTGCGCCAATCGAGGTAAATCAAGGGTAAAATAAATCTGTGTTGTCCTTTAATGCGCATTGATCTCTGTCTAAATTAGGAACTGTGTATAGGAGCATCTCAACTGGATTAACCGATCCGGCGTGAACAGGGTGTGTGTCTCTCTGTGTATAGATGTTCATGTGTGTACGGAGATCCACACACATGTATCTGCACACAGGCATGCATTGCTTACTGTACAAAGCTGTGTGTGTGTGTTAGCAGTGTTGGTTACAGTAGCTAAAAAGGGTTCTAATGCAGAGTGTGAACTGAAAACTAATAGTTCTTAAGGGTTTTCATAACAAGTGGTTAGCGTAGTGGGGGACACAGGGAAAGCTAGAACAGCCTGCTTTCAGAGTAGGTGTGCAGTCTATATGTAAACAATATGACACCCTTCAGTGTGGGAGTAATTCTATGGCCCAAGACTGGGTTTGCATTCAGAAAAGTCCCAGGCTCTCTTTAGGTGCCCTGGAAAAAAGACCCTATTCTGGTTCTAGTCAATGTAGGAAATATTGTCTGCAGTGACTAGTCAACGATGATGTGAGCTGGTATGAAAGGATCTCCAGATTCTCCTACCCCAGTGGTAGCAATTTGGGACTTTTATGGTGGAGGGTGCTTAATGTTTATCATTTTGCATGATCAACCCTGGGGGTGTGGGCAAGCGCAACCTGCAGTGCTGAAGCCCAGTCAACCTCCGTGGCCTGGCAAGACGGGCAGAGAAGCTGGCATGCTATCTACAGAGTAGTCATACAGAGTTCTCCACCTTTACTCATTGATCGGCAGCACCATCTGCTCTCATGTAAGTTGTACATCTGGACTGCGTGCGCCAGTGGCACAAGAAATGTTGACCTTCCTGTGGGATCCAGAGCGATCTGGTTGGGACTCTGGCCAGTAAAATGCAACTGAACACAATGATGCCAAGGAAGGAGGAAAGCAGGAAATCTGATTGCTTAGATTGATGTAACTCGGCATTTCAAGCAGTGCTTGAAACTATTAAAAAGTTCCTTATGTTAGCTTTTAGATGTTGAAATGGTGGGAAAGACTATGTTATGTCCTTCTTTGACTCCGCCTGGTCAAACAAGTTTTGGAGGTTTCTGAAGCAAGTTAAAAACCTACCAGACCTGCTTATTGGAGGCAAAAAAGAAAGATGAATAGCCATACCACAAGCTTTTAAATTATCTTCAATTCTCAAATAGATAGGAATGGGTTTCCTCGTTCCTGTATCCACCCTAGCTGGATAACTCTGTGAATTAGAGCCAGAGGTTTGGAATTCAGTTCCCCAATATGCCTCCCAGAAGAGCCAGCCTGTGAGGCCTTGGGCAAGCTGCGTAGTTCCAGGGCAACCCCAGGAGAGAAGTGTAAACCAATTCAGAGTCCTCTCTGTCTAGAAAACTTTGAAAAAGTGTTGATATAAATCAGAGTTGACTTGATGTCATTTTCATTCTCTGGACCAGGCTCAACAAGCCTTTTCTTGTCAAAGATAAGTCCATATTATTCATTCTTATGTTGTTGTCTGGAGGTTGGCGGTCAATAGCAGCTCATTCTTGGCCACCTACTAAGTTAATGCCGGAGTCAAGATTTGAACTGTAGACTTCCTGGCTTGTGGCTTGTTGTTCTTACCCAATGCGGTCGGCCAACAAGACCAAGCCAGAAGTGTTGCCATGGAGTTCCTCCTCCCACAAAAGGGGTGGCTTCATCTATTGCCCAGTGTCTCTAGTCATATCACTTCTTGGGCATATGTCAGGTAAATTCTGTGTTGGCTTTTGGAGATTCACATGGGCTTGCCCCCAAGCATGATGTTCAGCATTTTCTGGGGCAAATCAGTGTTAAATGTTTTGATGTTTTTTAGCCATAGATAAGCTTGTAGAGGGGGTAGCGCGTACTGATTACAGCATGAAATGAAAGGCCATCTTTTGCTTTAAAAAAAAAAATTAACACTATGGGGGTGGGTCCTCACTGGTAATTTCTGGGAAACCAGGAGATCTTGGTCTGAGATTGTATGTATGTTGCACACTTTAACTGCCACCATCCATTTTATGGAATCCTGGCATTTGTAGTTGAATGGGGTGCTTACGTTTCTGTGACCCTGGACATGAGCAGGAGTGCCCAGCTGAAGAGCCAGAGACCAGGATTTTGACTCCTTACTCCGAGGAGAAACGGCCAGCCAAGATCGCCCAGATACAGAGAGTGTGTGGCTGATGGGCTTACATACTCTGCCACCTGATCTCACACAAGTTGCCCCATCTGGGAGCATCACCAGAAGGAGGGAGATGTAAACCATTTCTGAGTGCTTCATGCTTAGACAAACCCAGGAGGGTCAGAATTGATTTGACAGCACAGAATTAATTAAATTCGGAATTTCTGGTTAAGTTCAAGAGAAAATAATCGAGGTCTGCCATGTGCCTCACCATACCATAAAGCCCAGGGATCTGTCAGATGGAGCCATCACTGTTAAACTGATGGTGTTGTCCAGATACACTGGGGTAATAGCGCCGTCTTATGCATTTCTTCCCAGACAAGTGTCCATACCAGATCTGGCCCCTTCTAGATTTGTTGGAAAACTGTTCCCTCATCCCCAGCCAGCCACAGTCTGCTAGTTACAGTTGTCACACGAGGTTTGCCACTGTTCCTCATGGATCAGCAGGCCTGTCTGCTCTTGCTTCAGTCCCAAATCTGGACTGTGTGTGCCATATGTTGATCTGCCTGTGGAATCCAGACCTGAATGTGGAATCTGCCTGTGGAATCCAGCTGGCTGGCGATGATGGAAGGGGCCAGATCTGGAAAGGCTGGGGTAGAACACCACAGTCCTCACGGTGAAAGTATGAGGAAGACATTTGCAGTGCGCTGGATAAGGAAGAGACAAGGGTGTGGGTAGAAAGGTGAAGGGACAAGATTTCTGTTCCATTTGCCGAGGGGAGCTGTGGTAAGAGTACATACCGTTTTCAAGCACTTTTGTCATTTATTTATTCAGTGACCCATCGGTGCCAATTGCTGCAGTGTTTGAAAAACGCCCCTTGGCCCCGCTCGCAAATGTTTATAGCTTTGCCGTAACCCTGGGCCAAGGCGTGCATCTTGGCAATGCTTTTGAGCAGAATCGGCCCTGCGCAGAAATTGTGTCAGGATTGGAGTGGGGCCCCAGCAGATTCTCAGGAGCCCAACGGAGAGCCACCAACGTGGAGGCCTTTTCCCCAAGAAGGGGACCGTCCCAAGACTTTTTGCTACCCGAAGCAGGGTCACCAAAGGCCAGGTCCAGGTGGGACCTGAAACTGAGCTGTTTGGTTTGGGGGCGCCCGACATAGACGGTTGCACCGGTCCCTCTCCCTCTCATTGAGGCAAGTTGGCCAGAGATTCCGCTCTGGAACATCATACGCAGTTGGAGGGGGGCTGTTGGTCACCCCAAGTTCAGGGCAGTGCCTCAGTTTCCCGTGCTGACTAGAAAGGTAATATCTTCTGTGTGCCTAGTTAATTGCAGGCTCCGGCTGCGATAAATGACAACCTTTAACCCCTGAAGAAATGCTGTTGTGAAACTTAGAGCCGGAAATCAGGGCCAGCCCTCCTGTTAGGCAGTGTGGGGCAACCACCGTGGGTGATATTCTTCATGGTGGGGGTCGGCGTGCAATGACTGTCACCTGCCTGTTCCTTCTTAGCCCCCCGGGGCCATTCCGTTTGGCAAAGGATGCGACTGTGCTTGCTTCCTTCGCAGTCTGTCCTAATGAAAAGTGGACGGTCTCCAGATGTCCAGGGGCTGTGGACAAATGAACTTGCTCCCCAACCCCATTTTTTTTCCTTTCAAAAAGAAGGGGTTATGAAAGATGTCCATGTCTCCTCTCTAAGGGGCATTTTTTTAAAAAGAGGGTGTGGAGAACTTGGAATGTGCACTCCCCCCCCCAAAAAAAAACATGAAAAAATTGCCCTCCAGCCTAAGAGTGCAAAGGATGTTCTGGATGCCTTTTTAAAAATGAAAAAAAATTGCCCTCCAGCCTAAGAACGCAAAGGATGTTCTGGATGCCTTTTTAAAAACTCAAAAAATTAGGGTTGTAGGGAGCTGTGTGAAGACCCTGAGGGAGGCACGCTCAATCCATGGATTGTGCATTGCCCACATCTGCTCTAAACCAACCTCCTGCCCTCAGAAATGAAGGAGGCTGCTCTGACATTTAGAAGGGTTAGTAATATTCAGTAATATGTCAGCGTACTCCACTGGTTGCACATGGGGTGGGTACCTGTTGCAGAGTTTTGAATTTCTGATTAAATTCCTCTAGCTGTGAAGCAGAAGTGCTGAGAGTGACAGAGCAGAATGAGCTTCAAGTTTTCCAGAGTAGACCACCTCTCTTTTTTTTTTCATTAACTGGCACTTACAGTCTCAGTAACCTCACCTTGAGACATTAATACTAGGAAGAATAAACAGTTTCATTGCTTACAATTGAACAGATCAAACAGCAAACTGACAACACACCACTGCTTTCGGCAAACAGAGGTTAACAGATGCTAAAGAGAGGAAAACCACCGAGCAGAGAGGCGGGCCTCCCGTTGAAATCAGAGGCAAGAGTGAATGTTTGGTGAGGGCTGGATAGATTTGACAGTCACGAGTCACCCCAGCCCGGAAAGCTCCCTTCTAGCCAAGCTTATTAAAGGCCGTCTAGGAGGTTGCAAAAACTCCATCAGGACCAGGAAGCACCTGCTTCTTCTTGGCTTCAGACAACAAAAATATCTTGGACCAACCCCAGCAGATTAATCCTAATACCATAATTAACAGCAGTCCTCTTCTGCTTCTAATCCCTAAAAATGAGCTTCCAAAAGAATTTTAAGGAGCTAGCCTTCTTGGGAAGGGGCTACCCGCTATATGCCTTGGTCCAGTACAGAAGCCATTTTTCCCCCCACATAAAGCTCCCTGCTTTGCCGTGTACATGGGGAGGTGCTTCTCACTTTTCCACAGAAAACGGGGGCAAATGTGGCTGAGCGCAGCCAGGCAAAGAGTCCCAGGCTGAGAGCTGTACCGTTTCAAATCTCAAGAAGTGTTGTGAACGTAGTACTCCTGGTAAATCCAAATCCTACACCTATGGAAGGTGAAGTTTGTCACCCATGCCGAATGACAGGAAATAAAGGGGATGCTCCTAAATTTCCCATATTTCACGAGTTTATTTTGTGGTGGGTTTTTTCGGGCTCTTTGGCCGTGTTCTGAAGGTTGTTGTTCCTGACGTTTCGCCAGTCTCTGTGGCCGGCATCTTCAGAGGACAGGAGTCAGTGTATTTTGACTTTACCCGTTGTGGGAAGGAACGAGGAATGAGAAGCAGAGAGACATGGAAAGCTGGCCTCCATTAGGAGTCTTAATCATCCTTCTGGCTTCTGAGATTTTTATCACATGCGGTTTACAATTCCAGGCATATTTATAGTCAGAAGAACCCACAAGGGAGGGATCTTTCTGAAGGCTTATTTGTTTGGTTTTTTGGGAACATCCGGGGAACATAAAAACTGCCCCCTTGATCAATTTTGAATCCATTCCCATAGGAACAAGGCAGGTTGCTCACTTCCCTCCTCTTTCGTTCCAGAGATGGACATCACCAAAGCCCCCAAGGTCTTTGTCTCGACCGGACGCCGGATCATCACCATTGGCTTTGCCTTGCTGATCCTTTCGGTCCTGGCTTGGGCCTACATCGCAGGGGTCCAGCTTGTTTCCGACCAGTACCACATCATGGCGTTTGGACTCTATGGGGCCTTCCTCACTTGCCACCTCATCATCCAGAGCTTCTTTGCCTTCCTGGAACACAAGAGGATGAGGAGAGACTCCCTGACCTGCAGCTACACCAAGTCCGTGGCCCTCACCATCTCCGCCTACCAGGAAGACCCCGCTTATCTCCGCGAGTGCCTTCAGTCCGTCAAGGCGACCATGTATCCTCCTGAGAAGCTGCGGGTCATTATGGTGATCGACGGCAACAGCCCCGAGGACCGATACATGATGGACATGTTCCAAGAGGTCTTCGCCGGAGAGGACGTGGGTACTTTCGTCTGGGAGAACAACTACCACTCCCAGCCTCAGGTGTACGTGGACGAAGGAGACAGCGGTTACCAGGCTGGGGATGAGCCGTCGGTCTACACCGAAATAGATATGGACGACCCGGGGCAACTGGTTGTGGAGGAGCTGATTCGGACTAAGAGATGTGTCTGCATCATGCAGAAATGGGGCGGCAAAAGAGAGGTCATGTACACAGCTTTCAAGGCCTTGGGGAATTCAGTGGACTATGTCCAGGTAATTGATTCCTACCTCACGGTCTAGTTCCCTTGCTTTGCTTGTTTTTGACCAGGATCAGAACCCACGCCTCTAAAAACAGGAAGGCCGAGGAGGCGTCCTTAAGCGTTTATTTATTTATTTTAATTAATTTCCAAAGAAGTGGGTATGTTCGTCTGTCTTTGACTTGTTAGCAAAATGAAAGCGGGGGGAGAGAGAGACTGAAAAGACAAAAATGTTCTGCCACCTTAAAGACCAAGAGATTTGTCTTTGAATTTGGAATAGACACTGTTGGCATCCTTTCTGGGGGAAAAATAAATTTTTGATCCTCAAAAGCTCACCTTGAAATAAACGTGCCAGTCTTTAAAACACACCACAATATTTTGTTTTAAAATTAATTTCCAAAGAAGTGGGTATGTTCGTCTGTCTTTGACTTGTTAGCAAAATGAAAGCGGGGGGAGAGAGAGACTGAAAAGACAAAAATGTTCTGCCACCTTAAAGACCAAGAGATTTGTCTGTGAATTTGGAAGAGGCACTGTTGGCATCCTTTCTGGGGAAAAAATAGATTTTTGATCCTCGAAAGCTCACCTTGAAATAAAAAAACGTTCCAGTCTTTAAAACACACCACAATATTTTGTCCCCCCTCTTTCCCCCCCGTTTATAATTTTGCCAATATTTATTTTAATAAGTTACATAGGAGTCTTACCGCTGTTATTCCAATGAAATCAAGATAGCGCATAGGGCTCTCCTCATCCCCTCTTCCTGATCACAGCAGCGCTCTGAGGTAGAGCCACTTGAGAGGCAAGAACTGGCGCAAGACCATAAAATAGTGAGGATTAGAACCTGGATCCCTCAAGACTCAGCTCTCCATTCTGACCACAACACACACACACACCCAATGTTGTTATATCTTTCCTTTTCCCTGAGGAAGCATCCAAGTCATTTTTGGCCATTTCCCCATTTTTATTCTCCAAACAGGTGAGGTAGGTTTCAGCTCAGAGAGAGTGACTGGTCCTGGATAACCTGGTGAATCTTGTTGATATGTAAACATTTGAACCTGGGTCTCCCCAGACCTAGCTCAGAAGGACTTTGCCCACATCCTGCCAAACACTACGTTGGTGATCCAGTCTGAAGAAAACCTACCTTTTGCCTTAGCCAGCCAACTCATTAATCTGAATTGCTCCTCCGCCTTTTCTCCCTGGTGCTTCACCTTTAGTCGTTCCCCACTGCATTGCTTCCAGTTTCTTGACTGCGTTGCAGGGGCTTCGGGTTTCTCTTCCCAGCGTTATTGTCTGGGAAAGGGGGAAGGCAGCAGGAAAAGAGGAAAGCCAAAAGTGAGACGAATGACTCTCTAAAGGAAGCCACAGGCTTGAGTTTGAAAGAGCTGAGCCGGGCTGTTGAGGGAAGGACGTTTTGGAGGGCTTCATTTATAGAGTTGTCGTCAAGTCAGGGGCAACTTGACAGCCCATAACAATAGCAACAAGAAGAAATCTCTTTTAAAGCATGTGATTTGATGCCTATGAAGAGAAGGGCTTCATCAGTTCGCTGTGGGTCAGGAGGAGAGCTTTGGTGATGCCTATGAAGAGAAGTTCGCTGTGGGTCAGGAGGAGAGCTTTGAGGGGTGTTACAACTCCCTTCATAGATGCAACCCCCTCTGTGCTTCCACAAGTGGGGACCTAAGCGCCACCAAGCATGGTCAGGAGGAGAGTCTTGTGTAGTCTGGGCCCTTGAAAGTTACTTTTTGGACTACAACTCACATAACCCCCCAGGTAGGATGGCTAGTGAGCCTCCTGGCTGGGGATTCTGGGAGTTGTAATCCGTAATCATGTTTTCCAAATTCTGTCTGTGATCCCAAACATCTAGAGCACTGGTTCTTAACCTTGGGTTACTCAGGAGTTTTGGACTGCAACTCCCAGAAGCCTTCACCACCAACTGTGCTGGCTGGGGTTTCTGGGAGTTGCAGTTCAAAAGCATCCGAGTAACAAAGGTTAAGAACCACTGATCTAGAGCAGTGGGCCCCATTGGGTCTTGGACTGCAACTCCCAGAAGCCCTTGCCAGCACAGTGAGTGATGAAGGGGCCTGGGAGTTACAGTCCAAGAACATCTGGGGACCCAAGGTGAGGAGCCACCCCTCTAAAGGAAATCACAGCTTTGAGGGATCAAGACCTAAGCAGGACTCTTCACGATGGACCTTCCATAAAGTTGTCGTACGTCAGAAGACATCATTGCTTTCCCCAAGACTTCAAGGACTTAGAAACTAGCAGCAACTTACACATCATCAACATAGCACGGGTAAGGCATCTGTTGGATGTAAATCCCGGTGCGATGCTGCGGAGTCGGCGTCCCGGTAAGAACCCGCACTACAGCTTGCTCGACGAGATCCTGAATGTAGATGACCTTTGCGGTCCCTTCCAGCTCTGCAGTTCTAAGATGGTTATTATTATTATTATCCTCATCAATCACATCATCAGCATGTTGTCTACGCTTTTGCCCCACATGAGTCATTCGTTCCAGCACACTTGTTCATTACTCATCACCAAAATTGGCAATTTATTGTTCCCATTTTATAGATGAGGCAAGTGAGCAAAGTGTGATTTTTGCCTCAAAGCACTCCATGTCTGACTTAGGATGAGACAGCGTTTTAGCCTAGCTGTCTGTGGGGCATACCTCCCCCAAAGCTTTCCATTGGGGAGCCTTCTGGTTGTGATAAAAAATGCAAAATTAACAGGAGTTCCACCAGCTCTTGGAAATAAATGGTGCGACAGCAGATTTTCCCCTTGCTTACCAATTAATGTCCAACAACACAGAAGTCCATCAGGGCTGGCCCTGCCATGAGGCAGCGTGAGGATCTGCTCACATGTAAAGAGAAATGGCATATTTCCTGCAGTTACATTTTCTCCCTAGTGACACTAACCCATCAAAGCTACATATTTGAGGAATCAGATGTAAAAATTATGTCTGTTTTTATTTCCCAACAATCGTTTGCGAAATAAAAGGAAAGTGTTTTGCAAAACGCAGAAGGAGAACGGCTCGCGTTAGAACGGGTGTCTTTGACCTCCTAACCAAGTTCCGTTTCTGGTGATATGCTAACTTAGTTCAGCCTAAGATAGCCGCCTCAGACAGCAGATCTGAGGGGAGCATGAAAAGGCAGGAAAGGGTTCGCTGGTGAATTGAGAGCACTTATCCTATTTTTCCATCTGCTTTGAGTACTGTATGCACTTTGATTTGGGTGGGTGAAGGGGGCCGCCTGTTGACTCTTTGCCTCAGGCCACAAAAAGTATTAGGCAGCACCAGTGCCCAGTCTGAATCTCTCAGCCCCTCCTAGGTATGCGACTCGGACACCAAGCTGGAGCCCCAGGCGACGGTGGAGCTGGTGAAGGTGCTGGAATCGAACGAACGCTACGGAGCCGTGGGCGGTGACGTGCGGATCCTCAACCTCTCCGACTCCTACATCAGCTTCATGAGCAGCCTGCGCTACTGGATGGCCTTCAACATTGAGCGGGCCTGCCAGTCTTACTTCGACTGCGTCTCCTGTATCAGCGGCCCCTTGGGTAAGCCCTGGTTCCCCTTCCTTTGCCAGAAGCGAAAGTAGCCACAAAACTTGGGAAAAATTAAGTTTCCGGAGGACGACCCTCGGAATTAGAGATGGGCATCAACCATTCAGGATGGCTCTTGGTTGGTGGCCTACCTGGTCTTGCCACCTCTTCCTCTTACTCCTCCAATGCCACCATCTTCAGAAGGTGGCAGGGGAGGACAAAGGAGGTGGCAAAGGAGGACCAGGTAGGGAGGCAACAGGGTTAGAAGGGGAGAAGAAAGAGGTGGCGGTGGCAGGGGAAGAGGCAAGAGGACCAGGTAGGGAGGCAACAGGGTTAGGGGGCAGGCGGGCATCGGCTTTGCTGAAGCAAAATGAAGTAACCAGCAGAAACAAGTTTAGTGCTTCATTTCGGTTTCAGCAAAATGGGTTGCACGAACCAAACCATGAACCAGCCCGGTTCATGTTTTTTTTCCCCCCAGTTCGTCGTTCGGTTCATGCCCGTCTCTACTCAGAATCTCTCAGACAGAGTCATGTCCCCCAAAGAATATCCTGTCAAGTTCTGAAAAGTGTGGATTATTAGGATGAGAAAGCATTCCCCTTGCCCACGATAGCGGTCACCTCACATTTATATGGAGGCTAAATAAAAGAACCTCCCAGGGCCTCCAGTTATCAGAATTACAGTGACGCCCCGCATAGCGACGTTAATCCATTCCAGGAAAAACGTTGCTATCCGGAAACGTTGCTATGTGAGGGGGGAACCCCATAGGAACGCATTAAACTCACCGCTAAGCGGGAATCCTCAATCCGGCCGCCATTTTCGCCTATGCGGATTCGTCGTTAAACGGTGCGCTTGTTAAACAAGGCACCACTGTACCTCAATCCACAGCTTTTCGAAATGATAGTTTAAATTTTACTTAATGGGTTGAAAAAGAAACCAGTGAAAGCTGACTTTAAAATAGAAACTTTTGCTTTCAGATGACAAATATACACGGAATGGCTACATAATTATTTGTCATATCGATCTGTGCTAAGGGAAGGCCCTCCAGAGAAGCAGCCGTGTTAGTTGGGCTCAGCGTGTTGGCAAAAGGAGGGGAAGGGAAAATTTAAATATTCAAATGATTGGCAAATTTATTTCAGTGTCGGCTTTCCTCCATCAAAATATAGATCTTCACGTCTGAAAAAATGAATTTTGATCCACAAAATCTCACACCGAAATATATCTGTTAGTCTTCAAAGTACTATAGCACTTTGCTTTTTTCCCTCTCTTTTTCCCCTTTTACTTTTGCCATCCGCAAAAAAAGCCCTAATTGGTGTCAATATTTCATTAGGCAAATAGGGGTTTTGCACACTATACACTGCAGTTTTCTGTTTAGTTTTAAGCTGTATCCTCACCTCCTGTAGAAAACTTCAGTACCCATATTTTGTTGTCTTTTCTGTAAGAACAATGGCCTTTTTTCTCCATAGAGTGTGACGGGATCTCTCAAATTTCATATAATGGGGGGGGGGGTCCCAACATGTCTTCTGCCAGTGTGAATCTCACCTGCTCTCCTCTCTGCCCTCTACAGGCTTGTATCGGAATGACCTTCTCCAGCAATTCCTGGAGTCCTGGTACAATCAAAAGTTTTTGGGAACACACTGCACCTTTGGGGACGACCGGCATCTTACCAACAGGATGCTCAGCATTGGCTATGCCACCAAGTAAGGATGGGTAGATAAATGGAGATCTGCTGGAATGGGAACCTAGCTGAACAGGTGGAATAGAGCGAGGGGAAGCAATACAGGAAGACGATGGGCCCTATGGTTTTTAGATGGTTTAGATGGTTTTCCCTGTAGATCACTCCTTGGCGATGTTGACTGTGACATCTGGGAGTGGAGGTTTCCCACAATCTAGGGACCCTGTGTTGGGAACCCATCGATCCTCCATCTGTACCTTTGAAAGATTCCGTCAATAGTGAATGGATTTGTTTGCACCCAGGTGCAAAAGTTGGAGGAGTCCATTCTCTCTTCCTATCAGGCAGATCCTTCGCAACCACTAAGTCTGGCCCCACCCCACGGGGTTATTGTAAGAGTAAGGAGAGGAAACCATCCACGTGTGCCTGAGCTCCTTCTGGGCTGAAAGCAAAAGAATGAAATTTAACAGGGAAAAGTACAAAATTCTACACCTAATTGGGAGGGGAGACCAAATGGAGTTACAGGATGAGGGGTATTTGGCTTAATAAGACTACGAGCAAGAAAGATCTTGGAATTGTTGTAGATCACAAGCGGAATATGAGCCAACAGTGCGACGTGGCTGCGAAAAAAGCAAATGCCGTTTTAGGCTGCCTTAACAGAAGTATAGTTTCTAAATCCTGGGAGGTTCTAGTTCCACTCTATTCAGCACTGGCCTCCCCTTGAGTATTGCGTCCGATTCTGGACACCACACTTCAAGAAGGATGCTGGCCAACTGGAACAAGTCTAGAGGAGGGGCAAGAAAGATGGTCGGGGGCTGGAAATCAAGTTATTTGAGGAAAGCTTGAAAGAACCAGGCATCTTGAGAAAAGAAGCCTAAGGGGGGAATAGGATAGCCCTTTTCAAATCCTTGAAATGTTGTGACACAGAGGAGGTGCGAAGTCTCTTCTCACTTTCTGCTCCTCCTCCTCTCCTTGCCTTGCGTCAGGTACACAGCCCGCTCCCGGTGCTATTCAGAGACCCCATCTTTATTCCTGCGATGGTTGGCGCAGCAAACGCGTTGGACCAAGTCTTACTTCCGCGAGTGGCTCTACAACGCGCTGTGGTGGCACCGTCACCACCTGTGGATGACCTACGAGTCCGTGGTCTCCGGCATCTTCCCCTTTTTCGTCACGGCCACCGTCCTGCGGCTCTTCTACGGGGGGAACCTGTGGGACATCCTGTGGGTCCTGCTCTGCGTCCAGCTGGTGGCCTGCGTGAAGGCCCTTTACGCCTGCTGGCTGCGGGGGAACCCCGTCATGATCTTCATGTCCCTCTACGCCGTGCTGTACATGGGTGGCCTTCTGCCGGCCAAGTACTTTGCCATAGTCACCATGAACAAGAGCAGCTGGGGCACCTCGGGTCGGAAGAAGATGGTCGGCAACTACATGCCCTTGCTTCCCGTCTCCATCTGGGGCCTGCTCCTCCTGGGGGGCCTGATCTATACGATCTGCCACGAAGCCCTAGCGGACTGGACCACTGAGGAAAAACAGATGGAAATCTGGTATCTGCTCGTTGGTTCGGCCATCTACGTGGGCTACTGGACCTTCATGATCACACTCTATTGGGTGTGGGTACGGAAGTGCTGCAGGAAACGGGCAGATTTCTACAGCATTGAGGTGTGAGCTGAGCTAGGAAAATGCTGAGGAGTCTGTACTTGGCCAAAGATAGACCTGTGAAGACTGGAAGCTGAGACTCCCGGGTCATCATCATCCAAGCTTAACAAGTGGACAGCAGCCTAGTAGGAATTTCTTCTAGACGAGAGGAGGTGTATTGCCTCTTCCCTGTCTCTTCTCCTCCCTTCCTGTTTCTTTCTTTTACCCTTCAATAGGGTTTGTCAGTAGAGGGACGCGGTGGCGCTGCGGGTTAAACCGCAGAAACCTTTGCGCTGAAAGATCTGTAGATCTTCAGCTGTAAGATCAAATCCACGCAACCGAGTGAGTGCCCGTCGCTCGTCCCAGCTCCCGCCAACCTAGCGATTCGAAAGCATGCAAATGCAAGTAGATCAATAGGGACCACCTCGGTGGGAAGGTAACAGCGTTCCGTGTCTAAGTCGCACTGGCCATGTGACCACGGAAGATTGTCTTCGGACAAAACGCTGGCTCCGGAATTTCTTCTAGACAAGAGGAGGTGTATTGCCTCTTCTCTGTCTCTCTTCCTCCCTTCCTCTTCCTTTCTTTTTACCCTTCAGTGGGGTTTGTCAGTACATTAGGAGTCTAATCTCTGAGGGCTTCTTCCCAGAACCCAGGGTGAAGCCAGGGAACTTCGGACAAAACGCTGGCTCTACGGCTTGGAAACGGGGATGAGCACCGCCCCCTAGAGTCGAACACGACTGGACAAAAATTGTCAAGGGGAACCTTTACCTTTACCTAGGGTTTGTCAGTACAGCAGGAGTCTAATCTCCGAGGGCTTCTTCCCAGAACCCAGGGTGAAGCCAGGGAATGGGTCAGAAGAAGCCCCACAGTGTCTGTATCTCAGGAAGGATGTCTGTTGTACCAAACAAGACTCAAGAAGACTTCTTGTCTGCCTCATTTTCTCCCACTCCGACTGGTAACTTTCACATATTGGGAAAACTTTCTGACCTCAAGCTTATTTATTAGTGTTAAGTTTTCTCATTTAGAGAGTACCAGCAGGTCTGTTTTGCTCTTGCAGGAAAATGCAAATGTCTCTGGCGTTGAGAGGGTCGATATGACCACACAGGGACACTTGTTACAGAAGTCCGGTCTCGTTGCACTGAAACGTTACAGCTCCAGATTTTGGAGCATCCCAGCCATGGAACAGAGGAAGGTAGATGGAGGTGGCGTGATCTCTTTAGGAACAGAAAAGCCAGGGGGCCTGGTGAATTTTCCTGAAATGGAAAATGCTACCTAAAGATTTTTTTTCCCCTTTCGCCCCTGCATAAATGAAAAACTAAGCGTTATCAGCTTGCCTTCTCTTTCTTTATGGACACTTGACAATTATGAGAGGAACACTGAAGTTTACAATAGGGTGCCGGAAGCTGGATTTGCAGTTTTCACCATGAATGGAAATTGACGCTATGGCCGAGAAAAGGGTCTAGAGAACTTCTTCCCATCCCATAGAGTTTGTGGGAGGCGAATGTCCATTTTATGCAAAAGAAGAAGATGAAAACAGAAAGTGTCAATCTTATTTATTTGCCATATTTTAATATTGGAAAAAAGGGTATTTAATAACATTTTTAAATACAGGGAGGGGAAGAAAATTGAATTATAAAAGGGTTTTTTTAAAAAAAAAAGTTTTATAAATAGTGTAAAATAAAATTTATTTATTTCAAAGAAAATTCTTGTCGTGTTTGTTTTGCCACACATTTTTATTTCCTCTTGTCATACATCTTAATTTCATGGGGAATTTTCTTATGCCACAACCAGAAAAGATTTGAATAGCTTCCTATGTATCTTCTAAATGCTCGGTGCAGGTTACATAGATGTCATCATCACAACAAACCTGTAGGGTAGACCTATTTCTCTCCTGCTATTGTGGGCAACAAGGACGGAGAAGAGGCCAAAAGGGAATGATTTTCTCAGGGCTGTCTGGAAAATTAGCCATGAAGGAGCGATATGAAGCTTAAAAAACATTGTGATTGGTAGTTCAACCTTTGCCACTATTCTGTATGGGGTCTGGTTAAAAAAAACACATTAAAATTAAAAGTAAGACACTGAACAGGACTGAATGGTGGTTTTGCCATAGTCTAACACTACCTGATTTTGTTTTTCTTGCATAGAGAATAGGTCCCATGGTGCATAAGAGATATTGTCAAAGACAATATCCACGGAGGAAATGCAAACCCAAGAGGGAAACACAAGAGTCAGGGGGTTGCCCTATCTTTTGCTGTTCTAAAACTGTTGAAAAATCAAGATTATTCCATCTGTTTGCCTTAGATCTGGGCTCACTCCGACTAGAAACAAAGAAGAGAGATAACCCTCATGACCTGGTTGATGTTCTGTGCCATCAACATTGCTTGAGTTATGGCAAACCTACAAAGGGGTGACCTTGAAATATTCCCTTTAAACAGGCCAGGCCAGGACGAGGAGAGGGACCTCAGCTCTGGGATAAGACAGATGAGCTTCCTTAGTTTGGGAATTGACCTCCCCGATTCCTTTGAAGTGTGATTTCAAAGATATAGAAGGACTCCCTCAGTCTCCTCTCGGCCACACTGAGATTCTTTCAGCTCTCCTTCAGGCCTGTCTGTCGCTCTCGTTTCTCATCTCATTTATAGACACTGAAGGGAATGTTTCCCCCTCACCATAAGGAACGCAGAGTGGGGCATTTTGGTTGGACCTGTAGGTGCCTCCTCTCCATACACTGTGGTCCTGATTCAAAATACCCGCGCCCCGTGTGCTTAGAGGCAAGATCAGCATCGTGTTGGGATTTCCATGTGCACAACAAGAATTAAAATATAGAATACAGTAATATATAAAGAATGAATTTCTCTGCTTTCTCTCTCTCTCTCTCTCTCT